TAGCCTCTACATGCGCAGTGACGTATTATTTTTCTGAGTAGGGTTGCCACCCATTAAAAAGTTAAAAGATTTTCGCCGTTCGTTGAATTACAAAATGAGATACGAAATGAAAGTGCATGGCTTTAGCGTGTACAAAAATTTTATTATTTTCTAAGTAGGGTTGCCACCTATTTAAACTTACTATCTTCTACACATAGTAGAAAAGGAAAGTTGAGATATTTTGGGTACGCCACTGAACGTATTTAGACGAAATTTTTTAAGTATAATCTGTATCCATAGGAATATCATCTTGAGTCCAGAAATGAGGAGTCAGATAAAATTGCTCGGCTCTTAGATGTTCAATAATGTATTACTTTTTGACTTGGGTTGCCACCTATTTAAAAATTGCTTTTTCATTCGAACATGGTACGAATAAAAAAGTGAGATGTGAAAAGGAAAGGCTTGGCCTCCAGGTGTTCAGTAATCTATTATTTTTTGAATAGGGTTGCCACCTTTCTAAACACAATAAGATTTTCAATGTTCATTGGACTAAAAAATGAGGTATCAAGTGAAATAATATGGTCTCCAGATAAGCTTTTATTTTTTTAATGGGCCTGCCACCGCTTTGAGCCGTGGACCTCAACACTACCACACCAGTGCTCTGCTCTGTCGGCCATTGCGACTAATAGAGCGCCGCGAGCAAAATGGCATACTTAAATATGCTTTTTGCGAGGTATAATGTCACTAGTATTTCCACTAGTAGCCTGAAAATAGAAATCTCGTAGGACATCGCAATGTTAAAAATACCAGTATGTTTGCAATGGCAAGCATGTGTTTGCCTTTTTTGCGCATGCAAATCTACTAATAATCCTGCCGACACAACGCAATCTCCAGTGTTGCCAAAGTAACCAAGCAACCAGCAGACCAACCAGTCAACCAACCAACTGGCAAACCACCAACCCAACAGTCGATGGCAACCAACAACAGACCAACAACAAATGCATAGCAAATAGCAGAATGTGGTTACACTTTGCTGCTTTTCTGTCGCCAAAAGCACCCCCCCCCCCCCTCTCCTCTAGCCACCTTTGCCTTACATCTACTCATTTATACTATTTAGTTATTTGCGTGCGAACACACAAAGCGAATTTAACTTTTAATTGTGACTAAACATAAACACTTTTTAACCTCATTCGCAGTCCTTTGCCACACTGACTACTCTATGCTCCCGCTGTTTGTGTGATGCGTGTGTGCGTTGATATTTGTGTTGTTTGTATTTCGCTTTGCTTTTAAGCTTTATGCTTGGTGCAATGCGTTTTTCGTTTCTACCACGCTCGTACATACTATGTTGTTACACGCACAGACATACATATGTACATACACAAACACTTCTATTTGTTTTTGGAGCTATTGTTTTTCTTTGTGTTGTTGTTTATTATATTTTACAGTCCTATGCGCTGTGCATGTTGTCGTCGCCTGTGGTTTTCATGCCTCATGACTTTTTATTGCGTCAACATTAACTTTCTATTAACTTAAGCAGCAAGTAAAAGTGCAATCAGATTTTAGTGTAGCTTTGTATGTATTTTTTTCAAGTTTTTCTTTTGGACTAGAACGACAAACAAATATTTATTTAGCTAATGCAGGGTAATGGCAATTATTTTGCTGATCTGCAAACTAACCTGCGGCTTTGCGAATACAAGCTTTTTATTTTTCTTTTGTATAGGCATATACTTACGTTTGTAGTTGGTTTTAAGCAGCGTAGAAAAACGGACGACAAAATTTACATTTTTGCGAAATACGTTTTTTTAGTTTTGAATACTTTTGCTCTGAGAGACTAACCCATACCACAATTAAAAAATTAAATCTGGCAAGTGAAGATTAAATTTTCGAAAATTGAAAAAAATTTAAAGAAAAACAATTTTAATGAAACATATCTTTTATTAAGATTCTAATTAAAACAAGTAAAGAAGTATAAGTTCGGGCGAAACCGAATTTTACATTTTTACCCAGCGCAGATGTCAAATCAACTTTCTCTCAACTACCTAAAGGTCTATAGCAGTCTTATGTATTGTTAAGAGATTGTTGTAAGTATTAACTTAGAGTCATTGAGCGTCCTCAGTTATTGAAATATCGGAATTCGCCATTATATGGGAAGCGGGTGTAGTTTTGGTCCGATTTGAATAATTTTTACAAATTGCTTTTCCATACCAAAGTTACTAAATGCACCAAGTTTGGTGGAAATTGATAACTCGCTTATCGAGATACATGTTTGTGGTCAAAAGTGGGCGGCGCCACGCCCAAAATCCAAAACATTATAATAATCTAATTTTCTGCTCAGTGGTAATTGCAATTATCGATTCTGAGTCAATGAGCTTCAGTAGTTACTGATTTATCGCAGTTTTCGTGTTTATATAAATTACCGTTATATGGGCGTTAGCTCGATCCTAAACACGGCTGGTACCGAGTTTGGTAAGGATTAATGAAGCCGGTTTTTTACACAAGAAAAGGTGAAAAGAAATTCCGTTTTTGGCAATTTTTAGAGTTACGACAATTTTTATAATCTCAAACTCCTCTAAAGGCATACCTTCAAACTAGAGTGGAATGGTGATTAATTGCAACTTTTTTTTGTGTAGGGACTAACCCAACTTATTGTGTGTTCTTTTTCTAAATTTAATATATTTAAACAATCACATGACATGACGTAGTCCCGGGCTAAAACTACGTTTGCATCAACCAACTCCAGCATCATTGGAAGCCGTCAACTCCAGCAGCTGTGTTGTTCTTTATCCCCGAAATTGTTACTTGTATCCCATCATAAACGGATGGTTTCCATTTTGTATTGTTGCAAAATTCAAATTAAATTTTTAGTATCCCATCAGCTTTTCATTAGCTGTTAAAAAGTACTTGGTGTCTTTGGACAAACATTTAAGATACAACTAAATTTTCTGGCCAGAAATTTTATGCAGCTGATTTTAGAGAAAATGTTTATGAAAAAAAAAGTTGAAAGGAATTTTCAAAGGAAATCCTTCTTTACGGTTGAAAAATATATAATTATTTTAGGAGCGGTGACAGCGCAACCACTTGCGGAGTGTATTTGAAAGCATGTTTGGTTCCTTGTTTTCTTCACTCCATTCCGCTTCTTTTCTATTGGTAATGTATCGATGCTATGTATTTATGTATGAGTATGTAAAATATCGTCATTCGAGACCATTTTATGAGCTGGGAAATGTTGGTCTACGACGAAACAAGATTACAAATCTAATCTAAACACAAATCGACCAGACAGACGGACATAAGAAATGGCTGCAAAGTTCTCATGGAGATTTGAAGTTTTCATTTAACGCAGCTTCTCTCGGGACATTTCGGTAGCGAAATGAGTTAAAAAATTGTTTTTTTTTTGGCAAATGTTAGTTACATACACAACTTTCCTTACAAGTTTCTAATTTAAAGTTAGATTGTTAGTCAATATTGAAATAAATAGTTAAAAATCTTACACACACAGAAAGGCAGGCACACAAATTTACATTGATTAAGATTGATTAGTTACTTTATTTCCTTAGAAGTAACGAGGTGATATAAAACCCTGTACCTGAGAGTGGACTTAAAAGTCAAGCGTTAAGAGGGGGCCACACAAGTGTATGTTTAACTATGTACATGTGCATGTACTAATAAATTAATCAGGGACCGGGATTTAAACAAAATCACTCTTTAACAATTAGTTTTTGAATTTTCTCCTTAAGTAATGAGGGTTTCTGACTTTTGTTTTATAAATCAAAGATAACAATTATTTTAGATTTTTATCTGAATTATTTGCAAATAACAGTTATTTTTAATTTTTAAATTATATATCTAAGATTACAGTTACGGAAGATGATTTATTTTGGAACGAATTTTCGTCATCCCTTATCAAGCTTGGTTTGCAGACATTTATTTATAAAAGTCATCAATATAATTCAGTCGCTGACTTTTATTTTTAAAATCATACTTATAAAAGTCATTTGTATAAGTCGTAGTAAACTTTGGTTCTCCAATACTTTCATAACTGCAAAAAATTATGACTTTTATAAGTATGATTTAAAAAATTAAAGTCGGTGACAGACTTTTATTAATGACTTTTATAAATAAAAGTTTTCAATAACTGTTATCTCGGACATATAATATAAAAATCAAAAATAACTGTTATTTACAGATTATTTAGATACAAATCAAAAACAATTGCTATTTTAGATTTGTAAAATAAAAGTAAAAAATGATTGTTATTTTTTTTGTTTTAATTTTGCATAAAAGTGATTAATAAAAATTTATTTTCAAATTTTATTATTGGTGAAAGAAGAAATCGATCGGTATATATCACTTAGTTGTAGAACGTTTCCTTCGTAATGAACTTTTCAATGAAAATTTTCATCAATAACTGTTATGTTCGGTCCCTGAATTAATAGATCTTCAGGAATATGTATGTATGTACTGTATGTAGATTCTATGAAATAATTACAAATGAAGTGGAATTAAAAATGGGAATTATCAAATCAATATCTAATCAGTGGGAAGAGTAGTCGAGAGTAGGCACGTTTGTATGTACATGTATTGAACTTGGAAGGGGAATATTTCTTTTAATTGAATAATCTGTATCATACTGGATTTTTTTTTTACTGAACGAAAGGAGTGTAACTTCCTGTGTAAAGGAGGGAGGGTGCAACCAATAATGTGAATGAGAAATGTTTTTAAAGACAATTGAAAATGTTGGTGTAGGTAAATTTTGAAGAAGCTTATGGGCCTATTTTTTAATTCATGCTTTTTTACAAATTTGCAAATTATTTACAGACTGAAATAAAGTTTAAATAATCTCATTTAGGAATCAAAGGCTTCCTTAGAATCTTTTAAGCAAATTCCTTGTCTTCTTACCCTTTTTTTATAAGCTTCATACATTTAGAAAAAAACAAAAACTTTAAACTTTTATTTTTAATATTTTTTTTTTAGTTTTTTGTATTTTCCATTCTTTTTCATTTTCTCTTTATAAAATAAAATTATAAACTTACAATCAATAATCACTTAAACGTACAAAATCTCTAAAATTTACGCGACAACTTCAGATTTTACACAACTTCAACTTCTCCTTATTTCAATTTTCATTCCATCTGTTTTACATTCATTCTTTCGTCGTAAGTATTTGTGCTGCGCAATGTATTTTCATTAAAATTACGCAGGATCTCCCTTTGCTGTGTATATACGAATTTTTTCTCCACAATATGTTCTCTTTAGCTTAGTTCATTCTCAATATTAGAGTGAATCTAATCTCAAATTTATCTTGTTCTCTTTCGCTTATGGTTTCTAATTTAGATAACTTTTTTGAAATGATGAGTAATATATTTGAAAAGTTCCAAAGTCTAGTCGAATATAGAACCACCATATAAATAACATTAATATTTTAACACATTTAAGGGGTAGACGTCTCTGGTATCAAGTCAGCTGCGCTACCAGAATTGTAATGATTTCTCTTTTAAAGAGAAATGCCGTTTATGGAGAGGAGAACAATATTTTGATTACGAAGAACGTTTTAGTTAGGAGCTTCTTAATCGAAAGAACAATTGACTTGTGATTAAATTTGTAAAAGGATCGATTTGTGAAGTGTAAACTGAGCGTTTATAGTAAGGGCAGAGAGAGAGAGAGAGAGAGAGAGAAGAAGAGAGGGTGTGATAAAGTCAGAGGTTCACAGAACTTTTGTGAAGGTATGCGTGTGCGTGTAAGAGATTCATTTTAGAGTTTATGAGGAAGAGGCGGCGGCTGCTTTGGCTTTTGATGCGTTCTTAGTGCGACCTTCACTATTCAATCCAGCTAAGAGTTCACTTTTGCGGATGCTCTTCAAGTCCAAATCGCCATAGTAGTCTTCACTGTAATTGTATAATGTGGAGATGGTAGATAAGGTAAAAAGGGTTAGAGGATATCTCGCTAAGAAATCTTAAGCAAATATGTTTTGTGTGGGGAAGCTGGTTTTTTACAAGTCTTAAGAGCAGCGGAATGCAAGGGCTTAAAGAAATTTGTGCAGTTTGATAAAGTGCTTTTATAGGGAGAGAGATAGAGAAAGGGTCTGATAAATGAAGCAATTAAATGCATTGCAGTATGAACAGGAACAATCATAAGCGAATGAAAGATTTATTTCAAGCTTTTTTAAACTTAAATACATTATAAAATCTCAAAGTATTTAGTATTAAAAAAAATAAATAAATTGAACAAAAATATGCCAACACCGCAAATAAAACAACCATACTAACTTATGCTATTTATTTTCGTGGAAGTGCATGCGATTTAAAGTGCTAGCGAATGATTCATAGTGAAAAGTTAAATTCTAATGTTTCTACTCACCATCCGGGAACATCTTCTGGATCTTCGCAGTTGCCTGTACCATCAGAATCGCCAATCTTGAAGACAGTGCCGATCGGGCAACCATATTCACGAGCAACACCTTCCAAGCAAATATAGTATTTGCGGCAATCTTCAGGGTGAGCATGTCTCGAGAATGAACCGGCATTGGCAAGTTCACCGGCGGCTGGACAACTGAAACCGTTGGCGACTTCTGTAAATACAATTCGAACGAATTAGTTTTGGTGCGAATGAAAAGAGATTTTGCGAATTTACTGTACCTTCGTTTTTGCACTCTGGCACTTGATCGGCCCACATGCACACACGAGCATCACGATCGTAGGCAAGACCGGGCGAGCACTGGTATCTGGATGGTTCACCGTTCCAACAGTTCCAGAAGACATCGCATTTATTCTCATCGGGGAAGATACCGTACAGACGAGAGCAGTGCGGTGTGGAAATTGGAGGTTCTGTGAAAGAGCAAGATAAATATTTATTTATTAAAATGAAAATGTGAGGAGCTTTTATTAAGTTTTGGTTAGCTAGGCGTCTGGTTAGCTTGAAAATTTTTTAATAATTTAAGAAAAAATATGTTTTCGTAACAAAATTAAGAAAAATCATTTACCAGGCATACAATTTTGGAACCCGACAAATTTGTGGAAAAATTTTTAAAACTCGATATTGTCTGATAAATTTAGACTTCAAATATTCCTAGATATTTTTTTCTCTTGCATAATAATCGTTAAATTAGTTTCAATTATAATTTTAATTTAAAAATACCCCAAAATACTAGGCTGAAACATTATTTCAAAGATAAAATTCTGTATAATTAAAAAAAATTTGTTGGTGCATAAGGACGAAAAATGCCATATTAATTTTCGAAAAAAATATATGTTAAGGACTAATATACACACGATAATATCCCCGAATTTCGACTTCTAAACTTTATTAGCTCAAAAAATAAAATTAATTAAAAACACATTTTCAATAAGGTGGTCCAAAAAAGCATGTGAAAAAGTAAAGTCGGAATTCTTATGCTCTCACCCCCTAGGATTGTTCTGTACTGAAAAAATATACCCTTGTTTTTTATTTTGCAATAGAAAAATATTTACATCTCAATGTATTTTATAATAGTATCCAATTGCTTATTTAACCATTTTTTTCGTAGTAACTATGTTTTATAGGTCCGCCAAGAACCCTAGAAAGTGCAATAGGGTGACCAAAAAATCTTTAGTATTAAAAATGGTTAAATAAACAATTGGGTAATGTTATTTGAAGTCTTCTGAGGAAACCAGAATTCTATAAAATTTCTACGAAAAGTAGTTTTTTTTTCATTTAAAATACATGGAAAATTTGAAAGCCTTGAACGACCTCTTAACATTTTTTTATTTCAAAATAAAAAAACAGGGGTTTATATTTTATTCTATATAGAATAATCGTTGGGGGTGAGAGCATTCAAATTCCGACATTACTTTTTTGGGCCCCCGCGTATTCATAATTTTCCTTTCATTGGGCACCCATACTTCTATTTCACATTGCACTGAATTTTTAAAATAATTATATCTAACATATAGTTTTGTATGTAAAAAAATATCCTGACGTCAGAGTGCAAAACTAGAAACTCAAATTTGGTTTCGTGATTGTTTCAATGGGCTTGAAATCTTTCTTTGTTTTTGTCGTACGGTTTTTTCGGCAGGTTATTATGAATTTTAGGCAAAGAAACACTTCTAGAAATAAACATATTTTTAGTTAATTAATGCTTTTTCTGCAACCAATAAAATTTCGAACAAAAATCAGCTACAGGAAGTTTTTAGAATATTCTTATTCACTCAAACAGAAATAATATTTTACATATACCATCTCACTCACCCAATTGCGTGCGGTCACCACAATCCACATTATGTAGGTAATCACAATTCTCCGTCAGGAATTTCGGGTCTGAGGAATCGAAGGCGAGACCATTACCGCAGGTTTTCAATTCCGCAACATTATTGTCACACTTCCAGTACTTGTCGCATGACAGATCGTGTGGGTAGAAACCGAAATCATCGGGACACTTGAAGCTATCTTGGGCAACGGCTGTAAGAGGGAAAGGAAAATAAAGTTAGTACATTTTAATCAGCATAAAATTAATAGAAATTAAAAAATTAGATCCTATTCGAGCAGAAAAAGCGGAACTGAAGGTCTGATTATGCATATTTCGCATAAATTAGCACAACTTCTTAAACGTAACACAACTTTACAAAACTTAAGGCTGATTATATGCTTCGCATGCAACCAAATTTATCATTACTACCAACCTTATGCATCGACGCAATAGGGTCATTCACGGTGTACGAACAAAAGCATCTGATTGTTGGGTTTTTAAGGTAAGAGGATTTGTTTACAGAAAAATTCATTTAAAAAAAAACGTAATCAACTACATATCTATATTAAATCAAATATTTACTAGAAAGAGCATTTACCTTTCATTTGATATATAATTTTACATAGTTAGCTTTAAGGACAATATTATAGTTTATAAATTTATTTCATATAAAATAATATTTTAGTATATAATGAAAATTTTGAATAAAAAAATAGCGCGATATTTTCTTCGAAATGTTCGCCTGCAGAGCTTTTTTTCTTTTAACATATAAATTCACATTTTAGTATTCAGTGATATTACCAAAGATTTTTTTATTATGAATCATATATTTCATTTAAGGTGTTTTTGTGCTGCTCTTCCTTATCTTATGCATATCTTTTAATATCGTTAAAAAAAAATAAAAATATGTGTTAAAAAAATTGCCATAATCCATATATACATATATGTTATATACATTTATGAAATCAAAGGACTTTTAATTACCTTTCCAACCCTATGAAAATTGGTTCAAAACTTTTCAAAATATAAGCTTTTGAAAATATTGAATTTGCACCAAAATGGAATTTATTCCATTAAAATCAGAGAAAAGCGGCGGGCCATGCTCACTTTTTCTTAGTTTAGCTCAACGGGCCCTATTCTTAACTTGTTCGCACAATTACATAGATGGAGCCGTGAATCCCCCTAATATGTTTTCCATACATCTCTGTAAAAAAAATAATGCTATTGGTACTACTGCAATTTAAATGTCACTTATGAAAAGGTGAGGCAAAATCTAAACTCAACAGATCGCTAATTTTTTACAAGTTCTGCTAATTTCTGCGTAATGGAATACATACAAAATGAATTCAACAGATTTTCACCTGACAGTTTGAAATTGATGCGAAGTTTTGCGAAGTATGCATAATTAGACCATAAGGCAACATCTGTAAACCAACATTGTATGCGTATTCAAAACACCCATGCATATACATATAGTATACTTATCTATGTATTGCACTGCTATTTGAAAATTTCCAATTTTCAGATACATACATACAACAAACTTTCATAATGCTTGAATAAATTTATTCATCAGAAATTTCTACGAAGTGAAATGTGGTTGAAATCAAATGCTGGTTATTTATCAGTTGCGTTGCACTACAATTTTTTTACTAAGTAAGTATGTACCTATGCGATATTGCTGTTTTGTTGCATCAATAAACTGCCCCGTAAAGTTGGCAAGCCCGTTGGCTATTAGCATATTTATATGGAGGCGTACCCGCAGAGTATTGCTGACAGTACATTTGGTAAATACCGGCAGCTGGCAGCTTGCAACATGCAACACTTTCAATTGAATTTCGTTGCACACCAGCGCAAGAGCACACACAAATACACAAGCACATCCGCACAGGTACCTAATAAATGTGTAATAGCTTTTAATGACGTTGTTGTGCTGAGATACAAACAACAAACATGAAATTGTATGCTGGTGCGCGCATCTGCGAATTGGTGAATGTGGAAATTTCCGTTAGCTGATTGAATGCAAGCGCTTGGCGCGTTGCGGAGTATAAAGCGGTAGAATGGCATACTTTTGTGGCAGCATAATGCCGCTAGTTGCCTAGGTGCGCTTAATACATACATACATACATACATACATACATTCGTGTGTGCCAGTGATAGTGTTCTAAGCAATTTTTTTGATTTTTTTTTTGCGAAAAATGTTGGTTATACATTTTGAAAATATTGTACTACTTCTACTGGCAGCATGACGCGATTTCTGTTTTTGTTTTAGAAAGTTTTTGAATGCCACGGAAATAAATTGCAATGAAAAAAATTTAGGTCGTATTATTTATTATTTAGCAAAATTTTTTTAAAACAAAAGTGCTTCCACAAACATATAAATATTTAAAATTTTTAATTTTTTGTGTCTCCTAATTTGCTTTTGTTTTATTTGTATAACATTTTACTTTAATTTATTTTGTTAGATTTTTTACTTTTTTAAGTTATTTTACTTCACTTTTTTATTTATTATTTATTTTTATTTTAATGGATTTTTTATTTTTTGGTTATTTATAAATTTTATTGCCCTCCAACTCACATCACAATTTATCCTAAATCCATTTCAATTCATGGCATTTAGGAAAATTAAATTGGAAAAAAATTATCATAAGCACACACTACTTCCGCAATGTTGCACATGACGTGTGGGCAGCATACTCTACTTCACGAGTATTAGGTATTTGAAATTTTTTTCACTTTTATTCAAACTTAATACCGCTTTATGGTAAATTCAACAGCGTCCACACTGTGATTTTCCTAACAATCTAATTGCTACCACTGAAAATATTTAATTAAAATTCCGCCAGAAAGCAACAACAATGAACAAACAAAAATAAATAAATAAATTGTATTAACAGCGTCAAAGAGTGTTCAATACGAGCAGCTACAAAATGTTTGGCAAAGTTATTGACTTTGACGGTGGCAGGAGGAGAGGGGCATCGCTTGTAGTAAAAACAAGAATCCACACACACACATACATATATACGTACATATACGCAGTCGCTTTGCAGTCGCTTAGTGGCATCGCCTGCTGTCCAGTGCATGCAATACGCCCGTGTCGCCGTCTATAATGGGTTGTGTGGCATGTATTTTAGTGGCACTCTTTTGTGGCCGCTTGTCAGCTAGCCAACATAAACAAAAACCGCGAAACAACAATACCAAAATAAAGAAGAAATAAAATAATTTAGAGTGGGAGTGTAAATAAATAGTAACTGAAAATCAGAAAATACCGCCGTAACCGCTGTTGGTTGGTAAATATAAATGATAGGTTGCTGGGTTGGTGGTTTGCTGGACTATACCAAGCAGTCACTGCTGTTAAACTTTACCACTGTTGTTGCTAGTGAATGACGATATGAAATTAAGTGTAAAATAAAATCACTTTGGCAGGTATTTAATGGTCGGTAACAATACAAACTTCGACAAGCTACTACAAATAATAATTAACAAAATTTTCCTTTGGCAGTCATGTGCAAGTAAATACAGGGATAGGCACTCGCAGAGTTACCAATCAGAAATGCTATAATTTTGTCAATTTGTTTTTTTACTTAAAAAGCATCAGTTCATCATAATAGTTAGTCACATTTGAAGAAAAGCGTTTTACTATTGAATGTAGCCACCTTTAGCGCGGAGCCTATCAGAGAATGCTTCACAGGTTTCACGAATATGGTCTGTTGGTAATTTCTCCCAGTGGTGTTAAGTGTCTCATATTTTTTACTTGATACTTTGGCCTTGGGAATGGAGCACTTGTAGAAATCCGTTGGGCTTAAGCTGAAGCTGGCAAGTTTTTTTTTATAAAAAAAGTTGGATTTCAGAAACGTCCAATTATTTCTACCGAATAACTTTTATGTCCGAGGTAATATAGCATCGTTTAAAATCTTTTTACGCTAGATTTGTTTATTTACCTTTACGCTATGTTCAATACCAGATATCAGCACACCCGGACAAACCCGATGATTTTATTCGCGCTAAAGGTGGCTACATGGCATAGTATTTAATACAGTTTTCATAAAATTTCACTAATTTTTATGATGAACTGATGGTTTTAAATAAATAAAAAAATGTAAAATATGGTAGACAAAATTAAGTATAACATTTTTAATTGGTAACACATCGAGTGCCCCCTATAAAGGGCTGTTGTGAAAATGTAGTAAAAAGAGTAAGGAAGAGCGAAAGGAGGGAATGGATAACTAAACTGCGTGCTAGTTATTTATTTGAGCCTTTAGTTAAATTTATTGAAACAAAATTTACATTTTTTTCAAAAAACGTATCAACACAAGTTTAATTTGGTTTAACTTTACATATGTGTTTAAGTTGTTAAGAACGCAGAAGCCATATGAAAATATCAAGCTATCTACAGCAAGTGTCGCCAGTTTTGACATAAACGAGACTTGTATTTGCGGATCATGAAGTTAATGAAAAATCTCATTGTCGAATGAATTTTGCATAATCTCGAAAATTGTGTGGACTTTAAGAACTTATACTCCAATTGGTTATGTGCGTCTTTAATTTGTCACAAAAATGAAGTGGCCTATAGTAATTTGCCGTGGTCAACTCAGAACTCACGAATTTCAAGTTGATAGCATCAAAACCAACGAAGTCGATGTAAGTCGCCCAGATCGGGTGTATGGCAGCAATATGATATAGTGCCTCGAATCGAACAAATTTTGGTATGCCAACTCAGAACTTTATAGTACATATCGTAAACGAATTTCGGGCTGATATCTTTATATGTATACCTTATGCCAAACCAGTCAGTTTTTTGCCCATAGTGCAATGTGCACTTCGAGGCAGATTTTCGGTTCTGAAGAATCTGTTTACGGTTCTTTTGGAATGTTTTAACAATTCTTTTTACTTATTTTTTTCGGTTATTCTGCGATCATATTCCGGTTCTTCTAAATAGAGCCTTTTGGAATCAAGTTTCGGTCCTTCCGGAACCGTTTTTCGGTTCATTTGGAACCAAGGTCCGATTCTTCCCGAACCCTTTTTCGAATCGACTTTCGATTCCGTTAGAACCGTTTTTCCTCAGTTCGGAGCATAATTGTTTCGGTTAGTCTGAGATCATATTCCGGTTCATCTATAATAGTTTTTTGGGTATTTTAGAATCGAGTTTCAGTGCTTCCAGAACCCGTTTTCGGTTCTTTTTGCATCAACTTTCGTTTCCGTTAGAACCGTT